TTTTTAATATTTTCGAATCCTTTCTTAATTTTTTTTGTCACTTGAATCTTTTCTGAACATCATCCCTGGTATGTTAAATTTTTGAAAATAGAATATGCTATTTTAGAGGGGTGCTTATTTCAAAACTTTCTTTATAATGATTTTGAATAATGTTTATTAGTTAACAGTAGGGATCGACCAATACCGATATTAATATTGGCATATCGGCTCAATTCAAAGAAGTTTTGCTTTTAGGGCAACAGCATTTGGTTTGATCTTTTTATTCAGTTGTAAAATGTTCATTGCTACATACACACGCGTGGGGTAAAATATTCATTGGTGATTATTGTGAAGGAAATCAAAGATTGCTATGAAGGAAACTTGGAAACCAAAAATAAACAAAGTCAGAGGATGCCGGGCAAAAAAATTGTAGAAGGTCCCAGGTCCCTACATAATAAACATGGGAAATATTTGACTGTGTTTCTCGCTAAACTAACTAAAACGAAATCTTCAAAATATTCCAATATTGCTACATCTGGCGAGCGTTCAAATTTTTTTTTTGATCATTAAATTTTAGCCAACGTGTGTAGCACAGTAGTGTGGAAACTCGACCGCGGTACTAGAGTCCCTGGGTCGAATCCGGATTTGCGCATGGGTATTTGTAAATGAATAGGGTCTTTGGCTAAAACCCGCCTATTTAAAAATAAAGACCAAACATAAAATTATAAATGGCTGATACGCCGGTATTTTATCGGTATCAACCAAAAATGCTGTATCGTGTCCCTAGTTGTTGAATAATCTCCCGTTTTCAAAATAAGTACACAGGATTCAGGTAAAAAGGTTATCAGAACTAACCAATTTTTTTTTAAAAGAACACCCTGTATACTTTGATTAATAAAATAGCATATAAAATTCTATTTTTAACGCTAAATACATTCAATATTCATTCAAAAAGGATCAAGGAAAGTTTGTTTTTGAATTTTCTTTTTGATTTTTTTAATCATTCGAACTTTAATTTTTTTTAATACTTTTTTATTTTTTGGAAACACTTGAACCTTTTCCCCTGGTGTAGTAAATTTGTGACAAGAGGATTTAATATGCTATTTTTCAGGTTAAAATATACAGGGTGTTCTATTTAAAAAAATGTCCAATAACTCTTCTATCTGACCCTGTACACTTACTTTGAAAACGGCAGATTATTCAACAATCTTTATAAAAAACTATTATAATAAACACCCCTATAAAAATAGCATTTTATATTCTTTTTTTTTTAATTTAACACACCGCCCGAATGATATTCAAAAAAGATTTAAATAATTAAAAAAAGGTCAATAATTTAAAAAATCAAAAAAAATTTTTTTTAATCTTTCCCGTAGACCTAGAGAAGTGAATGTAGGGCATTCTCTAGCTTGCTCTACACTGTAAATTAGAAAAAAATACTCTAACCCTACAAATAACCTAAAATGTCAAAAGATCCATGTCTTGTTAACAGTGACATTCCAACGCACAGTTTGCTTGATTATTTATGTTTCCAAATAAAATCACAATAATAAATGTACCAAAATTCACAGTACTTAGCGAATATGGACAAGATGCGTACCGTAAAAATCTTCCGTGGTCGATATCCTTAACCAAAGGCAACTTGCACGCATACACTACGATAACCTTCCGCCCCAACGCGTCGTCCCCCTTCACGTCGACGATACCGTGCTTCGCCACATCCAAAAACTTATCCGAAGTATCGCCCACCTCGGGATACGACGTGTAAATTAAACTATCTAAACCTTCCTCGTACGCCTCGGCCAATTGCTCCTCGAAATTCTCGTCGGTGAAATCGGACACAGGCGAACCCATTCCATTCGTTTCGATCTCTTGCATTAAATCGACCGTATTGGCAATGGCGTCGGGCGATTGGTGCAGTTCCGTATCGTCGAATTCTAGATTAGGCTCGTAATCATGGAAGTCTGAGAGGCTCGGGTATGGTTCTTCGGTTGTGTCCGCCAGACACCCACCTGAAAGTGTTTTCCAATCATTATGCTTTCGAGCAGTAGGTTTTACCTTGGAATGTCTTTATATTGGGACCCATTTTATTTGTATCCATTTTATTTAATTTTCTAAAATAAAGAAAATTAAGTCATGTCTTACAGCGAAAGTGATTAACACTTCGAAGCTTCCTTCACTTTTTAAATGCGTGAAAAAAGAATGTTAAGCAATTAATATAAAAATAATTAAAGTGAAACTTATGTAAATGTTTGTTTTTAGACATAAAATGTATTTAATTAATTTGTAATTAACGGGAAGATGTGTGTGATGACAGTTACAAACAGCTGACTTACAACCAGTGGCGCAACACCGATTACACCATTCAATGGTCACACACAATTAATTTCCGTTAATTAATGATATTTCCGATAACGATAAGTATAAAAATAATGTTTACCGCTAATTCGATAAGCTAGTAATAATTAATTAAGTATGAAGTTTTCATCACAAACGACGCAACTTACTTCGTTTTGTACTGTCCATATGTGTATATTGGGTTGCCTATACAATTGAATGATTATGGAGAAGTTGATTTCAACAAGACTCTGCCCTCGCGGCCTCATTATGTAGCTGCTCTCTGTAGTGTAACTGAACTGCAACATGGATTAGAATCACTTAACATCGAAATAGGAAGTGTGATGTACCCAAGTCGAAAGCTATCGCGCTAAAAATAGACAACTAGTAAAGTGTCACTGATAGTATTTAACCAACCTAATACAATACATTTTAAAATCCGTTTATAAGTGACTGAGAAATATAATACTTATATAAGTTTGGGTATTCAGTACGCAACACAGTTGAAAGGTTCCACCCTGTATATACAACTTACGACGATACATACATTTTTGAGAGTTGGCAACTATGCCATTTCTAGGTGCTGCCTGCGCCATCTAAAAGCACGAACGGGGGTTTACGTTTGCATCTTGTCTTGAATGGCGGTCGTGAACGCTTCGCTCCATAATTGTTTGTTGTTATTTTGTATTATTTAATGCAGGTAGTAATTTCTGCACTTCTTTATATCGTATTTGTGTTTTGTAGGCCGCATTTTATATTCGTTGTGTATTTGAATCTCTGTTTTTGAAATTTACTTGGTTTAACCGCTCTGCAGCATCATATGTGTGATACCGTTCTGCTATTGTTTGTAATTGTTTATGTAATGTTTGCTTAATTTATGTTTATTGATGTTGATTACTTGGTCTTGTCTCTGAAGTTACATTCATATAAGTTTTGATCATTTTATTTTAATTTGTGGAAATTACCGATTCGTTTGATATATGTACTGACTTGTAGTTTGTAACTAACAATTTTCTCCGTGAACGAAGCAGTCACGGGGGTGGAAAAAAAACTGTAGTTAAAATTGAAGTACGACACCTAATTCCGTGATTGTCGATATCCAACTGTAGGCTCGAAACTCCGTAACCAGGGGCGGGCTACCCATCTTGCAGGAGCTAATCAAAGCTCTTCAGTTTAGAATCTATGTGCGATAAATGAGTGGCGATTCAATAATTTCCACATATCTTGTTTTTAGTTAAATTTGCCTACAAGGCCATATCTTGCTTTTAACAAAAGGACTTTATTGCGCCAAAGATGAGTCACATCCTATACTCTTAACACTTTCTCAGAATTTAGGTACCAGCTAATACCTGACCCATTGTTCCCAAAAACTTGCTTTTAACCTTTATGCATTTACTATCTTTGTTAACTACTGCTTAAACTTTTACAAAATATTTTATTGTTAATTAACTTTTGGACTGTATTAATCAAACTGCGAGGTTTTTCTTACGTCGTACTCTTTTTACCCTTAGCAGTTACTTTTGCGAGAGTACGACACCTTTTGGCTTTGCTTGCTTTGTTTATATTAATGTACATCAACTAAATTTCCGGGCTTCACAATCTTAATAATTACGATCATTATTAAACAAACTTTTCACAATCTCAGTGTTTTATTTTACGTTCCTTCCCTACTGTGCTTCAGATTAAAGTGTTGTCTACAACTAACGTAAGGTGGCCCTGCCTTTGATGTTTTATCACGTGCCACTTTTCAAATTTAAGCGGGATTTTGTTTAGTTTTGGAGGGAATAGCCATTCGGGTGGCCATTTTTAAACGTTGCCGGGTTGACTTTATTTCCTTGTTCTTGTAGTGTGAAGTTAGTGTAGAACCTCAATAACAGCACACAATTTATAGAAAAGAATCATTACCGTTTAAAAGTTGCTGATATCAAAATAGTTTTAAAGTGACTACATTGTGTGTCGAGGTTAACGTTTTGTCAGTCTTATCGATATATAGAAATAGACTGCGCGTACAAATACTATGCACGGATACTGCAGGTGAGCGAGAGGACAAAAATTAAGAGGCAAGCTCTATCTCTATCGCACTTGTGTTGGTGGCACTGCGACTATACAATCAACAGAAGCACGATAGAGTTTTCCCTTCTCGCTCACCTGCAGTATCCGTCTGTACCTATCTATTTACGCAAAGGGAACTCGTAGCTTGATTGTCGAAATCTGCCATTTCATGGATAAATACGCCATTTCTAATAGCCCAAAATTCTGGGACATCGGGACTCGGGAGGAACACTAGTTTTGTATTTAAGGCAGACCAGTAGGTAATATATGAAACCTTACCTTGTTTATACTATGCGATCAAAAATTAGTTGCTGTCGAGTTACCCATATTTTTTTACATGGGAAATCGTCGTACTTATCTTGAACTTCCAAAGCGGCTCGATCACTACCCGTTTATGATCACCCGTTATTTATTATTTGCAATAATTTAGTATCGTCCAACCATTGACTTTTTCTATTTATTTTCTACAACCTTTTAGGCTCCATTTTTTAATGCCATTTGTAGTAGTAGTAGCCTAGTAATAATTCATCTTTGATTTTACGATTGGTGTAATTTTTTCAAGTCAGTCAAAGCATAGACATTTGCAGGATCTATGGTTTCAAGTTAAATGTATGATCAAAGCAAGAGAAGGATTTGATCAAAGCATTTATTTTTCTGAAGTTGTTCTATAATTAGATCTAACTTCATTTTGAATTGATGACATGCAAACCACCAACTACGATCTAAAAACAAAAGCCTAAGCCTATGCATGTCTTAACATATGTGTCTTTAAACAAGATTTATAATTGGTTGCATAATCACACTGGACACAATTAAAAACTTTAGATGTATTATGTGTTAACAGGTGTATCTTTAAACTAGATTTATAATTGGTAGCGAAGTCACATTGAAAGCATTTTATATCCTTGAAAGTCTTATGTGTTATCACATGCTTTTTAAGAGCCACACTATTTTTTGTTGAATAAACACACTGAGCACACTTCAACAGTTTAGATGTCGTATGTGCAACCATATGTGTCTTCAAACTAGATTTATGCTTGGTGGCATAATCACACTGGACACACTTAAAATCTTTAGATGTCTTGTGTATTAACATGTGCGACTTTAAATTAGATTTATAATTGGTTGCGTAGTCACACTGGGCGCATCTTAAATCCTTGGAATTCCGGTGTGCCAACAAGTGACTTTTAAAACAGGCGTTATTATTGGTTGTATAATCACACTGAGGACATTTTATACATTTGGAAGTCTTGTGTGTTATTAGATGACTTTTATAAGAGTTACTATTATTGGTTTCGTAATCGCACTTGAGACACTTAAAATCTTCCATATGTGTCCACATATGTGACTTTAAACTAGATTTATAATTGGTTGTGTAGTCACACTGGGCACATTTTATCACCTTGGAAGTCCAGTGTGTTAAGGAATGTCTCTTGAAATGGGAACGATTATTGGTTTCATAATCACACTGGGTACACTTTAAATCCTTAGACAGTTTGTGCATTAACATATGTGTTTTTAAATTATATTTATAATTAGTAGCGAAGTCACACTGGGTACATTTTATATCCTTAGAGCACTTGTGTGTTATGAGATGAGATTTAAAAAAGGCACTATTATTAGTTGCATAATCACACTCGACACACTTAAAATCTTTAGATGTCTTATGTGCTGACATATGTGACTTTAAACTAGATTTGTAATTTGTTGAAAAGTCACACTGAGCACATTTTAACGCCTTGAAAGTCTCATGTGTTAATGAATGTCTTTTGAAATGGGAGCGAAAATTGGTTGCATAATCACACTGGGTACACTTTAAATTATTGGATGATTTGTGTATTAACATATGTGTCTTTAAATTATATTTATAATTAGTTGGGAAGTCGCTCTGCATACCTTTTATATCCTGAGAAGGCCTGTGTGTTAATAGATGTCTCATTAAACTAGATTTATAATTGGTTGTAAAGTCACACTCGGCACACTTTATCTCCTTGGGAGGCATGTGTGTTACCACATGGTTTTTAAAATGCAAACTACTATTAGTTGAAAAATCACATTGTGCACACTTAAAATCTTTAAACATCTCATGTTTTAACATATGTCTCTCTAAGTTACATTTATAATTGGTTGCATAATAACAATGGGCACATATAAAATCTTTAGACGTTTTGTGTGTTAACATATGCGTCTTTAAATTATATTTATAATTGGTTGTAAAATCACACCGAATACATTTAGAATTTTCTGAAATTTGTTGGCACTTATACGAGACGTTTTCCTGATATTTGTGCACGACGGTTCCAAAAAATTCTTCTCTCTGCTGCAATTCATTTTGACCATTAGAATAATTTGTAATCTCATTAGATTCCTGCTTATTTATAGTCCTGAAGACATCATTAGCAAGAAAAACCTTTTCGTCAAGGTATGCACTTATTTCTTCTTCTAGTTTCGGTTCCAGCTTAACAATTGCAGACATCTTCACGTAGGTATAGAAGTTGCCCTCAAGCAGAGATCAAAAACAAAGTTCAATAATACTACCTATAATGGGGTTGTACAACCAAATTGACTTGGAATTTCTGGTGTAGGTAAGCAATTTTCGCTCAAGCAACGGCAAGAATAACCGCATACCCTAATATTACAGTCATACATCACTTTCTACATTGTAGCGTGAACATAACCAAAACACAAAGCGCAATGAGATACTGTGAATTATACAGGGTGTGTCATGGACAAAAACTCAATAACGGCGATTATATGAGCAGGATGGACGAATGCACAAAAACGATAACAATAGCGCATATGTAATGAACTTTGGTAATACTGGAGGCACTTGGAGGAGGTGAGATGTCTATATCCCTTTAAATACCCTGTATATTTCAACGTTGGATGTAACCGGTCAAGTAGTTGGAGATTCTGGGGACATGAGCCACGGCCATCACCACCTGTCGATATTTTTTTTGTAAGTTCCGGAGGATGTTTGGGATTTGGGGGCTTGGCTCATTTGTCGATTGTTTAAAGCTTGTTGGTGGTGGGATTATTGTATAAGATTCAACCACTTTGGTGTTGGGTAAAGTATTTTATGTAGTTTACCCTTATGTACTTATATGAATTGTGCCATTTGTTATATCAGATATTTTCCATATACCATTGTGCCAATACGTAATTTATAACATGCGAGGTGTTAACTAATATCCATGTGCTTGTGGAAGTCTACGATATCTCAGGTTTAGACCACGTCTAACTCAGTTACACGGTGCACGGGGTTGTACCAATGTAGAAGAACCTCGACTTCCGTGAAGTAGGGCATGCAATGCTAGGTGTATTTAGGTTAGGGTGACTCGTAACATTTGCGAATGTTTGTGCCCTGTGGTATGTAACATATCTTCCTACCGTGAGAGGGAGCTCGGACGCTAGAATAGAAAGGTATTCTAGAGCTAAGGCACGAAAGGATCCGAGGGCCCTCGAACCTCCAACTTTAGGGACGAAGTGCTGCTAACCGAAGGCCGTCCTACACATGGGCGGTGACCCATCTCTTAACCATCTTCAGTTTTGTGTCGTTACGTGACCAATGTCAGGGGAGTGTTACGAAGCACAGGTAGTAGTTCCGGAAGTCTGGGGATTATACCAATGTCATTATGTGGAAACTGAGCATAATTGGGGCTCCACGAGCACACTGTGTATTGTCATAACTGCCTATTGTTACGTCACAAGATGAATAATAGATCAGACATGTTTTTACAAACTTCACACCACTCCATTCGATATACAATATGAATAACTAGTAAGGTGAATTATATCAATAAATGCATGAATGTGTTGCCCCTAACAATCTTAACTGCGCTACGGGTTAATAGGCAAATATGCCAGCCCAATCCCTAACAATATAACCGTGAAACTGGGTCCCGCCCGAGTCATTGTATTAGCTTTGTGTAACGTAAGGGGACCCTACCTTAGACGATCCAATCACGTACCATTCCTTTGTTTGAAATTTGAGCGGGATCCGTGTTTTGATACTGGGATTGCAACGTTGCCACTTTGCCGTGAAATCTGTTATCTTCACTTTGAGTCTGGGGTGGGTTAAGGTCAGTACAGAGGTGTGGTCAAATATGCCTTTGGACTAATACAAGCAAAAATTCCTGTTTTATGAAAGCCAAATTAGTATTAGAGACCGTATACTGATCCAAGTCTAATAAATCATGTAGAAAATGTAGATTTTCTACATGATTTATTAGACTTGAAATACTTAATAGATACTACCCGTTTGAGTTGGAATTTTTAGCTAGGATGAATATTAAGCTCAATAATTTTATCAAAAATAATTTGAATTATTTATTTCTTAGAGTTGGCAAAATGTCATGTCTGCCCCCCCCCCCAATTTTTTTTGTCTAGGTCCGCCCCTGGTCATATTATTATCCCATTTCATTTTTTCAGACATGAGAAGAGGATATGATCTTAGTTTTGGGAATTTTCTCCACAACCAAGTACTTGTTTAGTCGGCCTGCGCTTTGTCTTTTTACCATGCTTGCGTTGTTTAGTATTGAGATGGTTAGTTTCGCTTTATCCACGTGTATATAAAGCTTCTGACAATTCTGAATTTAATTTAGACGTTAAAACTAGCAAGCTTAGGTTCTACCGTCGCGGTCGTTTCCATAGAAACATCATTGTCATATGTTCTGAACGTTATTTTATATCGTGCTTGTCATTAGAATGCATAATAATAATCTCTTTCACGTACGTTATCTACCCTTGCGGTTAAAGTGATCACTTTATCTCCTCCCACGGTTAGAGACCGAGTTAGCATACTCATTCAAACCTACTAAAATGTCAATTTAACATCTGCTACACAATAAAAAAATTAAAATAAATTGTAGCAAATCGCATTACCTTTGAAAACCGAAAGTCGAAAAAAGGAGACCTTACAATTATTAATTGTATTAATATTTGTTAATACAATAACTTTTTTTTTCGAGTTCCGCCACTTATTCCGGTTTTCAAAGGTTATTTTAACTTTATCACTTTTCGAAAAAAACAAAAACGGAATCTAAATAAATATCATTTCTTATGTAGTTTTTTTATTCTGACTTCGATAACAAAAAATTATACAGGGTGTTGCATTACAAATCAAAGAGTTAAAATCATTTGCGGCTGAACCGGAAGTTGAAAACGTTTCCGATTATTAAATGCCAAATATTTGTTATACATATATGCACATCCATTATTAAAAAAATTGTTAATAGAATAAACTAGATAATCGAATATTTCGAGACTTTTTACTTACCCTGTAGATGATGTAAATACGTCATACATTTTTCGTATTAGTAGTTAGTACATACTCGATTAGAAAATTACTTACTTCGATCTTGATCTGATTTATTTATTCCCGATTTCGTAATGAACAGTAATTCCAAATGATAGATGGCTTTTCTTCATGTCCCGCAGCCTATTTGGGTGCATGTATCGTTTTCTGATCTCTGCCAGCTTTTTACACAAGCAAGTGGATTAAATCTGTCTTGGGCGATCCACGCGCCATGCCTAGGAACTGTCACCCCACTCAAAAAGTACCACAACGTCGTTCACCCCAATACACCACTGTATACAACTGACAAAATAAGTATTTACCAAATTATACAATAATTAACAAAACTATATTTGTGCATTTATAAAACTGGATTTGTTTAAAGTTGCTAGAGAAAAAATGCAAATGCATAAAAATCCTAGCCTACTTGTGGGTTAAGATATGTGTCCTTAAACTAGATTTATAATTGGTTGCGTAATCACACTGGACACACTTAAAATCCTTAGATGTCTTATGTGTTAAAAGATGTGTCTTTAGTCTAAATTTATAATTGGTTGCGAAGTTACACTGAGCACACTTAAAATCTTTAGAACTCTTGTGGTTTAACAGATGATTTTTAAAATGGGCAGTACTATTACTTGCATAATCACACTGGACACACTTTAAATCTTTAGAAGTCTTATGTGTTAAAAGATGTAACTTTAAACTTGATTTATAATGGGTTGCGAAGTCACAATGGGCACACTTTATATCCTTGGAAGTCCTATGTGTTAACAAATGATTTTTAAAACAAGTATTATTATTAGTTGCATAATCACACTGGGTACACTTTAAATCTTTAGACGTCTTGTGGTTTAACTTATGATTTTTAAAATGGGCACTATTATTAGTTGCATAATTGCACTGGACACACTTAAAATCTTTAGATGTCTTATGTGTTAACATATGCATCTTTAAACTAAATTTATAATTGGTTGCAAAGTCACACTGGGAACACTTTATATCCTTAAAAGTCTTGTGTGTTACCACATGCTTTTTAAGACATGCACTATTATTGGTTGCGTAAGCGCACTGGACACACTTAAATTCTTTAAACGTCCTATGTGCCAACATATGTGTCTTTAAACTAGTTTTATACTTGGTTGCATAATTGCACTGGGCACACTTAAAATCTTTAGACGTCTTGTGTATTAACATATGCGACCTTAAATTAGATTTATAATTGGTTGCGTAGTCACACTGGGCGCATCTTAAATCCTTGGAATTCCGGTGTGCCAACAAGTGACTTTTAAAACAGGCGTTATTATTGGTTGTATAATCACACTGAGGACATTTTATACATTTGGAAGTCTTGTGTGTTATTAGATGACTTTTATAAGAGTTACTATTATTGGTTTCATAATCGCACTTGAGACACTTAAAATCTTCCATATGTGCCCACATATGTGACTTTAAACTAGATTTATAATTACGGGCACGCTTGTGTGTTAATAGATGTCTCTTTAAACTAGATTTATACTTGGTTGCATACTCACAATGGATACATTTTAAACCTTTAGACATCTCGTGTGTTAACAAATGTGTCTTTAAATTATATTTATAATTGGTTGTAAAGTCACACTGGGTACATTTTATATTTTTAGAAGGGCTGTGTGTCGCCAGATGGTTTTTAAGATTGGCAGTTTTATTGGTCGCATACTCACACTCTGTACATTTTAAACTTTTATACTTCTTGTGTATTAACAAATGTCGCATTAAACTAGATTTATAATTCGTTGCAAAGTCACATTGGGCACATTTTATATCCTTGGGAGTTATGTGCATTGCCACATGATTTTTAAAATACACACTATTATTGGTTGAAAAAGCACATTGGCTACAATTAAAATCTTTAGACATCTTATGTGTTAAGGTATGTCTCACTAAGTTACATTTATAATTGCTTGCAAAATAACAATAGGCACATGTAAAGACTTTCGACATCTTGTGTGTTAACATATGCGTCTTTAAATTATATTTATAATTGGTTGCAAAATCACACTGAGGGCATTTAAAATTTTCTGAAATTTGTTGGTCCTTATTATGAGAGATATTTTCCTGATACTTATGCAAATGCAATTCATTGCGACTGTCATTAGAATAATTCGCACTGACCGTAATCTCGTTAAAATCCTTCTTTATTATAGTTGCAGAAACATCATTAGTAAGAAAAACCTGTTCGTCAAGGTATGTACTTATTTCTTCTTCTTGCTTCTCAAGCAAAGGCAATAATTATTACATACCCTAATTCTATAGTGCCCCAACTTCTTGCGTTGTGTGATTTATGGACATAACCATAAAACCATAGAACTGGGGACAGAACCAAAACACATGGAATAATTATGTACATTGAGGGTGGTACACGGACATACATACAACGATTATTTATACGTCTATTTTGAAATGCAAAATCACCAAAATTGTTGAAGCTAGAGCTAGCTATACCCAAAAGCTATACGGAACGCGCCAAAAATGCGCATGCTGAACTCGCAGCCACTTCCAAATAAGATAGCATGCATTATACAGGGTATGTCAAGTCCAATAGCGGCAATTTGAGGTGGACTATAGGTGTGCAGCGCCCACACTGAAAAAATTCAGCAAAAGAAAAATTGAAAAAGAAAAAATAAAATTAATTTTCTGTTTTTGCTTGAAGTTCAGTAACATTTTTTAGTTAAATATCCAAATGAACTAACAGACCCCAAAACTTGTATTAAGTAGTGTAACGTTTAAATATTCACCGAAGAGACCGAGCGCAAACCGTAAAGTCTGTATCCCGCCCGTGCTAAAGCACAGTATGGTGGTCGAAACTAAAGCCGACCGATTGCTCTACGACAAACGCAACCGGCCTATCAAAGGAGAAAGACAGTCCGAAAGTGCTTTTTGGCCATATATATAAGAGAAGATATATGCTTTTTCCATACATAGTTAGTAGCAAATAAATCAAAACCAAAAACTACTTATGTGCTAACATGTGTGTCTTTAAACTAGATTTATAATTGGATGCAAATTCACAATGGGCACATTTGAAATCCTTGTAAGTCTTGTGAGTTAACAGATGACTTTTAAAATAGGCACTATTATTGGTTGCATAATCACATTGGACACACTTAAAATCTTTAGATGTCTCATGTGTTAACATATGTGTTTTTAAACTGGATTTATAATTCGTTGCAAAGTCACACTGGGTACACTTTATATCCTTGGTAATCTTGTGTGTTAACACATGCTTTTTAAGACACGAACTATTATTGGTTGCATAATCACACTGTGCACACTTAAAACCTTTAAACATCCTATGGGCTAATATATGTGTCTTTAAACTAGATTTATACTTGGTTGCATAATCACACGAGACACACTTGAAATATTTAAATGTGTTATGTGTTTGCAGATGTGTTTTTAAACTACATTTATAATTAGTTGCAAAGTCACACTGAACACACTTAAACACTTTAGATGTCTTGTGGGATAGCACATGATTTTTAAAACGGGCACTATTATTAGTTGCATAATCACACTGGACACACTTAAAAACTTTAAATGTGTTATGTGTTAAAAGATGTGCCTTTAAACTAAATTTATAATTTGTTGCATAATCACACTGGGCACACCTGAAATCTTTAAACGTGTTATGTGTTAAGAGATGTGTTTTTAAACTAGATTTGTAATTGGTTGCGAAGTCACACTGAATACACTTAAAAGCTTTCGCTGTCTTGTGGTTTAACAAATGATTATTAAAATGGGCACTATTATTGGTTGCATAATCACACTGGACCTGGACACACTGGAAATCTTTAGAAGTCTTATGTGTTAAGAGATGTGTCTTTAAACAAGATTTATAATTAGTTGCATAATCACATTGGGCACACCTAAAATCTTTAGACTTCTTGTGTGTTAACATATGCGTTTTTAAATTATGTTTATAATTGGTTGCATAATCACACTGGGCACATTTTATATCTCTGGAATTCCTGTGTGTCAGCAGATGACTTTTAAATGAGGCATTATTGTAGGTTGCATAATCGCACTGGGGACATTTTATATATTTGGCAGTTTTATGTGTTATCAGATGATTTTCACAAGAGGTAGAATTAATGGCTGCATAATCGCACTGAACACACTTCAACACTTTAGAAGTCTTATGTGTTAACAGATGTATCTTTAAACTAGATTTATAATTGGTTGCATAATCACATTGGACACACTTCAAATTCTTAGACGTCTTGTGTGTTAACATATGAGTCTTTAAATTATATTTATACTTGGTTGCGAAGTCACAATGGGCACATTTTATATCCTTGGAAGTCCTGTGTGTCAACAAATGACTTTTAAGGGAGGCATTATTATTGGTTCCATAATTGCACTGGGGACATTTTATATATTTAGAAGTCTTGCGTATTATTAGATGACTTTTACAAAAGGTACTATGATTGTCTGCATAATCGCACTGGACACAATTATGAAACTTTAAACTCGATTCATAATTGGTTGTACATTGGGTACATTTAAAATTTTCCGATTGTTGGAGCTTATTATGCAAAAAGTTTTCCTGACATTCATCTCCTTGCTGCAACTCACTGCAACTGCTATTAGAATAATTTGCACTGATTGTAATCCCATTAGATTCCTGCTTTACAGTTGCGAAGACATCATTAGAAAGAAAAACCTTGTCGTCAAGGTATGTACTTATTTCTTCTTCTTGTTTCGGTTCCACTTTAACGATTGCAGCCATCTTCACCTATGGGAGGCACTCTAAACAGTATCAATGCATAGGGTTGCCCAAACAAATAGGCTTGAAAAGTAGTTGGTGTAAGCAATTTTCGCTCAAGCCCAATAATCACATACCACTGTACCACATAGTTTATCGTAATGCTGCAACTTCTTCTTGCGTTATGGGTTCGTATGGGTGTGCGAGTGTTGTGGATATAACCTCACTGATTTGTGGACATAACATAACCAGGCGCATGACAACCATATATTGACAACCATAGACATATAGCCACAGCTTACTATCAGTAAGCTGTGATATAGCCCTATATATATTACATGCTTGATGACAGCGTACGGTTTGATCGGTACAATGTACATTATACAGGGAGCAATATAGTATCATGGACAGTAGGGAACTGGCAGCGAAAAGTTAGCAGCGATTTTAGGAGGTTGCAACACTGTGCCACTCTTGCGTTATAAACCACGCCCACTTAACCAGGGATTCTAAAATATTAAACCGCGATCATCCATAAGATTATGTAATTTTTAAATGCGGCAACACTTAATTAAAAATTAAAATATATATTACTCCCCTCGGTAAAAACGCCTTAGGTGTTTGGTATTTTATAAAAGCATTACAATCTGCACTATTAAACGAAATATAATGAAAATATAGTAATTGGCGTGTAAATTGTGCGAAGAAACGATTTTCCGCGCCCCATGCCGCATTTGCATATATCTTATCAAAACCAAGTCCCTAAGCGTGGTGCCCAAATCAGCTTCGGCATACACATTCGGGTGCCAAAGTAAATTTTAAAAAAAATTCTATTTTGAAAATTTTATGTGGGGCTCGCTGTGGCTGTACAGGTACAGATAAATTTAACCGAAACGTAAACCTTATCGGTCCACCTCTTCCATAGTCTAAAGTCTAACACTAACTAACACAGGGTGTTTTAAAATTAATGGCCAAGTTTAATAAACTCAAACATTAAAAAGTTGAAATAAAACATGCAGAAGGGCGATTAAAATTTAACTCATTTTCATGTAGCAGTTGTATTGATTTTGGAAGACCTTTTGAAATTCAAGTTAAGGAAATCATGTTAAGGAAATCATGTTAAATGTCAAAAATTTTGAAATACCTTAAATAACTTTTAAACCTTTGATACTGGATGTAGGGAAATATATCAAACGACGTGGATTTTCATGTAGGTAGATTTCGAAAATGCAATAAAATACAGGGCGTTCCGAGTTGCTATCCACATCCGGTAAAACCAGAAGTAAAACGATCATGACAATATATTCTGTCGAGAGGTCATGAATAAGTATCGGTATGCACATTTTCAAATTAAAATTATTATACTTTTAGGATACAGTTTCCGTGAAGCAGCTTGTATAATTATTATTTACAGCGACACTAAAGTCCCTAGATTACTAGGGACTTTAAGCGACACGAACCAAAACGCCCTCTGGATTTGGCCAAACTACTTAACTGTCGGTGGAACAACCCCCTCGTGGTGCGTTTTTTCCAAGACGAACATATTTTTTGTTCGGATTGAACGTTTTGAGGGAATAACTAAAAATTAATAAACATAAACATACATCACAACATGGGATGGGAAGAACCTCTTACTAAGGGAAGAACCCTCCAGGTTTTCGAATGAGATTACACCCTGTGTGATGAACGCTGTCTCATTTTAAACATGCACTTTATATGTAATTAGGACAAGCCAAGAAGCAGAAAAGTGCTGGTATTACTATAATATTAGGGTAGGTGTGTGATACTTTCCAATTCTACATGGTTGAATAACTGTATTAATTCAACTTTGTCTTGACTTTCGTTTTTAGAACGTCTCCAGCGAGTATATACGTTCGTGGAAATGACTGCAATTGTTAAACTAGAACCGAAACAACAAGAAGAAATAGGTACATACCTTGACCAAAAGGTTTTTGTTACTAATAATGATGTATCTGCAACGATAAAGCAGGAATGTAATGACTTTACAATCAGTGCAAATTATGATGGGAATAATGAATTAGATCGGGAAGATGGAATTTTTGGAAAGATCTTGCATCAATATCAAGAAAATTTCTCACAGAATAATCCACAACAGTTAATACATAACAATTATAAATCCAAGTTTAAAACTTCAAAACTTTTTAAGTGTGCTCAGTGCGACTTCTCGACCAAGTATAAATTTAATTTAAAGTCTCATACATCAGCACATAAGTCATGTAAAGAATTTATATGTGTCCAGTGTTATTATGCAACCAATAATATGGCCTATTTTAAAAGTCATCTGTTAACTCATAAGACTTTTAAGGATTTAAAATGTGCCCATTGTGACTTCGCAACCAATCGTAAATCTAGTTTGAAGATTCATTTATTCACACATAAGACATGTAAAGATTTTAAATGTGTCCAATGTGATTACACAACTAATTATAAACCTACTTTAAAGTCACATCTCTTAACACACAATTCGTCTAAAGATTTTATGTGTACCAAGTGTAACTATGCAACCAATTGTCGTTCCCATTTGAAAAGACATTCGTTAACACATGGGACCAAGGCCTTAAAATGTGCTCATTGTGACTTCTCAACCAATTATAAATTTAATTTAGGGTCGCATATGTCGGCACATAAGACATCTAAAGAACTAATGTGTGCCCTGTGCGATTATGCCACCAATAATAGTGCTCATTTTAAAAAACATCTTGTAATACACAAGACTTCCAAGGATATAAAATGTGCCCATTGTGACTTTGCAACCAATTATAAATCAAGTTTAAAGCTACATCTATTAACACATAAGAAGACCAATTTAAAAGTACATGTGTTGACATATAAAACTGTTAAAGATTTAAAATGTGCTCAGTGTGACTATACAACTAAGTACAGATGTAGTTTAAACCATATATTATATATATGGTTTAAACAGACATCTGCTAACACACAAGACGTCTAAAGATTTAAAATGTGCCCAGTGTGATTTTGCAACCAATTATAAATCCAGTTTAAAGGCACATATGCTGTCACATAAGTAGACTTAGGATTGCATTTTTTCCCTAATCTTAATTTTAGTGTAGTAGGCGTTGACAAAACGTCAAAAAACCCATTGTGGTTCCGTTAAATGACGATAAAGAATCTTATTGTGCTATACATCATTCCTATAATAAAAAAATAATACTCAATAGTCTGGACTTTTGCCCATCCAATAAAATGTAAAGTAGGATAGTTAGTTTGCTTGCATAAAATAAGGCACTCTTCAGAAGAGATCTTGTCTTTTAAAAGTAGACATAGGAACAAACAATACACGTAAATCCCTACATATACTTAATAAAAAGCACTGTATAAAATCTCAACAATTTTCCATATGTAAAGGAAGTTGTAAAGTCCTTTTGTAATCACTTTGTGCTAAGCGCCGGTAGAATAACTATAAATGAATAAACAAAGGAAGACTTCTCCAGGCGTCCTAATGTCTGGCTACCTAATGCTCGGTCACCATGTAAACCCCTTCTAAGCTTTCGTTATACGCATACCCGTTGCTTTTACATAATGACGTCATACTTCACTTGACAGCCCGACGCTATCTTCACGCATGTTGTATTGTATTGTATTGCCTTTGCTTTAGTGAAAATCTCATTACACGTTACACCACAGACTTTCCAAGTGTATTTAGTTAAACAACCCTATTTATTCAACTGTGTTTAGATCTCCATTTTTAAAGCGCCTCCTACGCGTGAAGATATGTCTACAATTGTTAAAGTGGAACCGAAACAAGAAGAAGAAATAAGTAAATACCTTGCGGAGAAGATTTTTCTTACAAATGATGTCTCTGCAACTGTAAAACAGGAATCTAATGTGATTACAATTAGTGCAAATTGTTCTAAAGACAGTCAGGGAGATGAATATCTTGGAAACAAATATCAGGAAAATTTATTACATAATAAGCGTCAACTAGTTTCAGAAAACTTTGAATGTACCCAGTGTGGTTTTGCAACCAATAGTCGCTTCCATTTCAAAAGACATTCATTAATACACGATCCCAGGGCGTTAAAATGTACTCATTGTGACTTCTCAACCAGTTATAAATCTAGTTTGAAGATACATGTGTTAACACATAAGACCTCTAAAGATTTTAAGTGTGGTCAATGTGATTATGCAACCCACAATCGTACCCATCTTAAATATCATCTGTTAAAACATAGGGCTTCCAAGGATATCAAATGTGCCTACTGTGACTTCTCAACCAATTATAAATTTAATTTAAAGTCGCATATGTCTGTACATAAGACATCCAAAGAATTTATGTGTGGCCAGTGTGATTATGCAACTAATAATAGTGCCCATTTTAAAAGTCATCTGTTAACTCACAGAACTTCCAAGGATATAAAATGTGCCCATTGTGACTATGCAACCAATTATAAATCTAATTTAAAAATACATGTGTTAACACACAAATCATCAAAGGATTTTAAGTGTGTCCAGTGTGATTATGCAACCAATAATAGTGCCCATTTTAAAAGTCATCTATTAACTCACAGGACTTCTAAAGATATAAAATGTACCCATTGTGACTTCGCAACCAATTATAAATTTCATTTAAAGAAACATCTGTTAGCACATAATAAGACATCTAAAGATTTTAAGTGTATCCAGTGTGATTACGCAACCAATAATAGTGCTAATTTTAAAGGTCATCTGTTAACTCACACGACTTCCAAGAATATAAAATGTGCTCTGTGTGACTTCTCAACCCATTATAAATCTACTTTAAAGACTCATTTCTTAACACATACTGCATCTAAAGCTTTTGTATGTACTCAGTGTAATTATGCAACCAATAGACGCTCCAATTTCAAAACACATTCGTTAATACACGGCCCCAAGGCTTTAAAATGTGCTCATTGTAACTTCGCAACCAATTATAAATCTAGTTTGAAGTCGCATATGTCGGCACATATGAAATCTAAAGAATTCATGTGTGTCCAATGTGATTATGCAACCAATAATAGTACCTATTTTAAAAGTCATCTGTTAACTCACAGGACTTCAAAGGATATAAAATGTGCCCATTGTGACTTCGCAACCAAGTATAAGTCTAATATAAAAATTCATATGTTAATACACAAAACATCAAAAGATTTTAAGTGTGTCCAGTGTGATTATGCGACCAATTGTAAATCTAACTTAAAAATACATGTGGTAACACACAAGACTTCTAAAGATTTCAAATGTGCTCAGTGTGATTTTGCAAGCAATTATAAATCTCGTTTAAAAGCACATCTATTAACACATAAAACATTTAAAGATTTTAAGTGTGTCCAGTGTGATTTTGCTACCAATATTAAATCTAATTTAAAAACGCATCTATTAACGCATAAAACATCTAAAGATTTAAAATGTGCCCAGTGTGACTACTCAACCAATTATAAATCTAGTTTAAAAACACATATGTTAATACATAGGACGTCTAAAGATTTAACGTGCGCCCAATGTGATTTTGCAACCAATAATGGTGCATATTTTAAAAAGCATATGGTCGCACATAAGAGGACTAAAGATTTAAAATGTGCTTAGTGTTATTTTGAAACCAATTATAAATTTAGTCTTAAGGCGCATATGGTTAAGACATATGTAGCTTAGGATTTGTATGCATTTACATGTTTTCGCTACTCACTTTAAGCAAATGCAAAATTCATACTCGCTGTTGAAAATGCAAGTAGTGCGTAAATTTTAACTCTGGACCCACAGATCTCCTAAGTTCCATTCTTAAATATACATGTCAAATGCCCCTTAAGATATGCAACCAATCTTACTTATTTTCAAATGTTTTTCAATAAACTTCCATATCTGAACTATGTGTATAAATGTACAAAAAAAGAAAAATGGAAATGTTACAGATGTGGTTTAATATAGTAATTTGCTGCTAAATATCTTGATAAGCCAATTCAGTCAAGTGGCACGCACAATTCATCATTAAAAACTTTCATATTGATGGTTGTCTTGTTATTATCAACATTACATAAGAAAAAGCGCTAGACTGGGAGATGGTGAATACGCTGATAGGCTAACGCAAACTTTAAGTACCTAAATAGCTAACAAATACTTACCTAAACCAATTCAAAGCTATAAAAATGGCTCGAGCTTGCGTTTTGTGCTACTCTGCCTGCATGGGGCTACTCCGTGAAGTCCAAAGTTTATTCACATCTTTCCTAAGCCACGGCATATCCATCTAACAAATTTTAGTTTTATACGTCAGAGCGTTTTTGAGTAATCTATGAACAACCGTTAAGACACTATGGATAAAGAAGCTGCTCACAGTACTCGCGCTTTTTAATAAATTATTATTGAAATAGGAAATTCCTTTTGTGATAGACACATAAGTAACTTTTGAGGTAGGTACCTATTGTTTTATTTAAAATTTATCGATCTAATTTGTTCATAAACCATAATGCTTCCAACAACATTTCATATTTATCATAATTTGCATAGTCCAAGTCCAATACACGTCTCTATCCTACTGTCGCGAATATTCCAGAAATCCCGAGACGTCATGAAATATTAATCATCGTCGATAAAGAACGAAGACAAATGCGACGCAATCTTTCCGGAAAATGTGACATGTGTTGTTTAAGAACATTCGAAAGCATACGAGTTTGCTATATAAGCAAATCGAATTGCGTTTCATTTCAGTTCCCATCTCAACGCCGAAGTAATAACTAGTTCGTGCTGTTATAAATTCTGTATATGCAAGTGATAAAATAACGTTTAAGTTATAAATCAATTCATTTCAAGACTGTTAATGTATTGTAAATAAAATAAATCACGTAATTAAATTTATGTTATACCACATATTAATAATGTTAATGTTGTTATAAATAACTTGTTTGTAATTTGTATTAAGACTAATAAGATGACTTTCAATGTGTTAACACGAAAAAGATTACCGCATCTGAATTTTTCACCTACCTAATACATGTAAAATACACATATCCTGTATTTTTTTACACAACAATACAAAATAATCCAACCATCTTTAGGTGTAGCCACCAATTTCAAATTTTAAATAAAAATAATCCAATAAGAATCTAACAGGTTTATTAAATAAATAAGTACAATTTAAAACAGCGCAAAATACTGAGTGAAATTTTAATAAGATACCTAATATTTTGACTGCAAACAAAATTATCAGTGAGAATTTGCTAAATATGCAATAACGAAAATTATTCAGAATATGAATGCATCAATATGCCTAAACATTTTTTATGCACATTCACATTCAACTCCTAAGCTTACTTACGCTTACTTATGTGTTAATATATGTTTCTTTAAACTAGATTTATAATTAGTTGCATAATCACACTGGACGCACTTAAAATCCTTAGATGTTTTATGGGTTAATAGATGTGCCTTTAACCTAGATTTACTATTGGTTGCATAATCACACTCGACACAATGAAAATCTTTAGATGTTTTGTGTGTTAATAGATGTGTCTTTAAACTAGATTTATAATTGGTTGCGAAGTCACACTGATCACATTGTATATTCTTGAACGCCCTGTGTTTTAGCAAATGATATTTAAAATGGGTACTATTATGGGTTGCATAGTCACACTGGACACACTTAAAATCTTTACATGTCTTATGTGTTAACATATGTGTCTTCAAACTAAATTTATAATTGGTTGTGAAGTCACACTGGGAACACTTTATATCCTTAGAAGTCTTATGTGTTATCAAATGATTTTTAAAGAAAGCACTATTATTGGTTCCATAATCACACTGTAAACATTTAAAATCTTTAGATGGTTTATGTGCCAAAATATGTTTCTTTAAACTAGATTTGTAATTCGTTGAGAAATCACACTGTGCACATTTTAGATACTTGGAAGTCCTGTGTGTTAACATATGACTTTTTAAGCATACTTCTTTATTTGTTGCATAATCACACTGATTACACTTTAAATCTTTAGACGATTTGTGTTTTAACATATGGATCGTTAAATTGTATTTGTAATTGGTTGCAAAGTCACAATGGGCACATTTTACATCCTTAAAGTTATTATGTGTTAGCAGATGCCTTTTGAAATTGGTACTATTATTGGTTCCATACTGACACTGGGCACATTTGAAAGCTTTAGACATCTTGTGTGTTAATAGATGTCTAATTAAACTACATCTATACTTAGTTTCATAGTTACACTGGGCACATTTTAAACCCTTGACTGTCTTATCTGTCAACACATGCACTTTTAAAGTGGGCTTTAAATCTTTCTCTTTCTTATGAGTTAACATATGAGTCTTTAAACTAGATTTATAATTGGTAGCGAAGTCACAATGGGCACATTTTATATGCTTTGGAGTTTTGTGTGTTACCACATGATTTTTAAAATGTACACTATAGTTAGTTCCAAAATCACATTGAGCACATTTAAAATCTTTTGAAGGCTTATGTGTTAACATATGTGTCTTTAAGCAAGATTTATAATTAGTTGCAAAGTAACAGTGGGCGCACTTATAATCTTTAGACGTCTTATGCGTTAACATGTGGTTTTTTAAAGTAGATTTAAAATTGGTTTCAAAGCCACACTGTGCACATTTTATCTCCTTGATAGTCGGTGAAATATTTTCTTGATATTTATGCACGATCTTTCCAAAAACTTCATCCCCCTGCTGCAATTCATTGTGACCGTCAATGGGATAATTTGCACTGATTGTAATCAGATTAGATTCCTGCTTTACAGTTGCAGTGACTTCATTAGTAAGAAAAATCTTTTCCTCAAGATATGTGGTTACTTCTTCTTCTTGTTTCGGTTCCACTTTAATAATTGCAGCCATCTTCACCTATACTTATAGGAGACGCTCTAAGAAAAGCAGATCAAAACAAAGTGCAATTTTCGATCAAGCAAATAATAATAATCATATACACTAATAATACCAGGAACTTTCTGCGTTGTAGTTGGTAATCGTAACTAACACACTTGTACAGGGCTGGACTGGGCCATCGGGCGGTGGGGTTATCGCCTCAATATGCCGGGGGTATCACAACCGGGAAGCAGCACGGTAGACTCCCGAATGGGCCGCTCAGCCGGAACGTGTGTCTATGCATCACAAAAGTCACACCCTGTTCTGTCTGTGTTGTGAGTTTTAAGTTTGAATAAGAAAATTAACTTTTTTCCCTTATATTGGGAGGTCTGGCGAAGTAGTGGGCCGATTTAACAAAATCGTCCGGGCCGTTTGGTTGGTCTAGTACGGCCAAGCGCATGTTCCAATTGAATTAGTGTGCATTATACAGAGCGTAAAAAAAATAATGTCGAGCATGAAGACTTCTTCAAATAGTGCAAGTTCTGCAACTGTACTACTATACTGTTGATAGCCGTTATAATAGAGCCGTAGGGATAAATGGACGAACGGACAACAGAATCCCAATAACTCATTTTTTTATCTTTGGAAATACGATATTTTTTTCATTAAATTAACAAACAATCCTTGTTCCTTTCAGCATTTACCGTCAAACAAGCCTTTGCCGGGGGTGAAATTATTAGCGCGCACTGATATCTAAAATAGTGCTAGACCTAAGATAGTCAAACAAACCTAAACAATCCAGTAAACTACGTGATTTCATAGGTTCAGAAACATCGTTGTCAATATTAGGACCAGTAACATTTTTAAATTAAAAGAATGCTCATTTAATATTTCACTGTTGACATATTTATTGTGTTAATTCAATTTTAAAAGCACCATTTATGACTTGTTCACATACAACTATCTTAGCACACTCTGAGAACTTTGTACCATCTTTGGGAATTTTTTTTATGTGTGACATACGCCTCACCTATAGTGCGTTCAAACCTCCAAATTCAGTATGGGCCTTATGGGAATACAATGCTTGCTTGCCAAACTTATTTAACCGCTATATTACTGCGCCGCTTATAATACCGCCGTAGCAGACACAGATTCTAACCTCAAAATAAACAAAAATACTAATATGAACTAAATGCGTTTTTATTAAAAGATCATTCGGTAAATTAGACTGAAAATGCAATAAGTAATAAAACAAATAGATACCTATACACCAGGTAATTAAGTTATAATGTTCTACTTTTAATTACAACTAAAATAACAATTACAGGTACTACGTTCCGAACAGCATAAAGCTTTGCTCGCTTCTTTCACAGTCGCACTAATGTTCATTATTGCTTTAAAGTAATTAAGTACATTCAAAATGAGGCACTTCTCCTTACGACTAAAATGATTTACTGAATGCTGTTTAATATTCGCATTAGAAGGGCCCATACTGAATTTGGAGATTTGAACGCTGTATAGGGAGTCTATCAAGCACACACTGAAAACGTTGACTTACCCTATACTTACCGTTGGCAACTCTGGCAAAAACTGCAAGCAGAGCCACTAACCTTTCAAGTCGAAACGATGGACGTTTCGCGGCACTTTTGAATTTGGATGGCAGTCGGCTCAACATTGATGGTACGAATGAACTCCTACGTTGTGTAATCGGTTCTTATATGTGTTGGGACGTGAGGCATAATCGGGAAGGGAATTAAATAAAAGACAGAACTTTTGTGCGTAAGAAATGGCAAGATCAAATAAATATATTAACGCACACAAGACCATGCCAGGGAAACCTTCTACGGGACTAAAACCCTGGCATAGGCCACACAAATACATGAACTAAATCACCTACAGTAATAAAATGCAAGAGAAAATACACATAAATAAAACATCTCAAATGGTATGATAAAAATCAGATAATCAAATCAAATGGAATTAAACAAATTCATAAAAACAAAATACACAAGACATCATAAATGCAGTGGAAAATATGATAAATCAATTCAGTATAACAACACATTAAAATACCTGTACAATCAATTGAGATAACACCACCATACAGAGCATATATTTTTGTTTCAGATGTAAAGGTGTGTTGCCTAACCATCAGGGTGGATTATCACAGTACTTTAGGAATAACTCTCTGTACACTTTTTGTGAACTGGCCACCCTTTTTGGTGACCTCGTTCATAGTTTCAATCATATATCTCTATCATCAAATATCAAATTTTGACTTGAATAAAATGTGGCAGTATTATAGAAACGATCACAATCATGAAAAATATATTGATTAAAAATTTTTGCAATGTAATTTGCATCTTCAGTTAATCTTTTATACTATTTCCCTCACGATATATTCCTTGGAAATATTTTATTTGTGGGTTCAAAACTGATTGTGTAATTTTACTTCCTGATGTGTTGTAACAGATGTTTCTTTAAACTATATTTACGATTGGTTCCATAGTCACAATGGATACATTTTAAACCTTTAGACGTTTCGTGTGTCAACAGGTGCACCTTTAAATTATATTTATAATTGGTTGCGAAGTTGCACTGGCCACATTTTATATCCTTAGAAGTCCTGTGTGTTACCAGATGACTTTTAAAAGAGGTATTATTATTGGTTGCATAATCACACTGGATACACTTTAAATCTTTAGACGTCCTGTGTGTTAACAGATGTCTAATTAAACTATATTTATACTTAGTCGCATAGTCACACTGGTCACATTTTATATACTTGAAAGTCTTTAAATCTTCAGTCGTCTTATGTGTAAACATATGTTTCTTTAAATACGCACTATTATTGGTTGCAAAATCACATTGGGCACACTTTAAATCTTTAGAGGTCTTATGCGTTAACACATGTGTCTTTAAACTAGATTTATAATTGGTTGCGAAGTCACACTGAGCACATTTCATACCCTTAGAAGTCTTGTGTGTTACCAGATGACTTTTAAAATATGTTATATTATTGGTTGCATACTCACACTGGGCACATTTTAAACTTTTGGACGGCTTGTGTGTTAACATATGTCTCATTAAACTAGATTTATAATTAGTTGCATAATCACACTGGACACATTTTATATCCTTGAAAGTATTATGTGTTACCACATGATTTTTAAAATACACTCCATTATTAGTTGTATAATCACACTGGGCACACTTAAAATCTTTAGAATTTTTATGAGTTAAGAGATGTGCCTTTAAATTATTTTTATAATTGGTTGCATAGTCACATTGAGCACATTTGATATCCTTGTAAGTCCTGTGTGTTAAGAGATGGCTTTTAAAACATTTGCTATTATTGGTTGCATAATCACACTGGGTACACTTTAAATCTTTCGTTGTCTTGTGGTTTAACAGATGTATCTTTAAACTTGTTTTACAATTGGTTGCATAGTCACAGTGAGCACACTTAAAATCTTTAGACGTCTTGTGTGTTAAGAGATGCGACTTTAAATTAGATTTATAATTAGTTGTGTAGGTACATTGGGCACACTTAAAATCTTTTGAAGGTTTGTGTATTCGCAAACGAGTTTTAAACTTGGACTTGTAATTATTTTGCAGCTTATTTTCTTGATATTTAACCAAGATTTTTCCAAAAATTGCACCTTCTTGATCCAATTCATTACAATAATTTGCATTGATCGTAATCACCTTAGATTCCTGCTTTATGATTGTGAAGGAATCATTAGTACGAAAAACCTTGTCGTCAAGGTATGTACTTATTTCTTCTTCTTGTTTCGGTTCCACTTTAACAATTGCAGACATCTTCACCTATAGGAGGCGCTCTAAAATAACAGATCAAAGGAAGTTGAATTAATTGGGTTGTTCAATCAAATACTTGGAAAGTGTCTCGTGTAATCAATTTTCGGTCAAGTAAAGAATTAACTATCGGCATATATGCCCTCACGTACCCTAACCATTGAATTGTATTCTTGCCATAGACATATGAGGATACATATGTCTATGGTTCTTGCTTGTGCCTCGTTAAAGCCCATCACACAATGAAAAAAATAAGGAAGAAATATGAAATAAGGAATAAGAAATAGTGACGCCGTAAATGCAAAACACAACAAACAAATAAGCAACAGACTATTAGCCAATCAGCTGTTTGGATTTATGACGTGCTTTACCGAATGCTTCCTAACCTCATTGTTATTATTACACAGCTGGTAAGTTGTCCAAACTTGAATTTTTTCGATTGTAATTAAATTGCTGATAAAGTTACAAGTGAATAATTATTATTCATTCATGGCAGAATGGAGCACTATTATTCCTGTGATATAATGGAAGAAAATCTCAATACACAAGACCTAGAAGTACCTACTGATGGAAAAGAACGAGATGAACTATTAATTGAATTGATTAGAACACATCCTTGTGTATACAATAAGGCATTGAAAGAATACAAAGACTCCTTAATGAAGGAAAATGCTTGGCGGGAAATCGCTACAATATTAAAGAACACTGGTAAGTCTATAAAGTATCTAGACATCCTGACTTAAAGTATTTGCAGTGGGTGAGGTGCAAAACCGTTGGTTGCGAATACGGCAGCGCTATTCTAAAGAGAGGAAACTGAGAGAAAGAGAAGGTAGAAGTGGAATGCCCGCTGCAAAAAGGAAGAAGTGGTTGTTGTTTGATTTGCTGTGTTTTTTAGAAGAGAATGTGGTGAAGAGGAGGTACTGATTTACCTATAATATACTTGTAATTATTATCTAATTTTTAGAACAACGGGTTATACTTCAAAAGCAGTTGGTCAACAAGTGATTGAGTGGGTAGAAGTGGAAGATTTACATGTAAGTTATTAAATTTAAGATTTTCATGTAATTGTGTGTATCGCTCCCTATCAGAGCCTACTTTCATCACTTGCTATCCATATTTCAAATATTGAAGAATTAGTTTCACCATGTAGGACTGTGGGTAATCAAGTTGTATGTTTTAAGGATCAAACCAGTTTAAGTAACAGTAGCGAAGATTCAGGTCCTTCTACTGACCGAAGTGTATCCTCACCCACCGCATGCTACACTCCACAAACGTTTACTAGGAAGCGTGCTAGTGGAAAAGATCCAATTGACGATGCCATTAGTCAGATATCGGCCGCAATTCAAACCATGAGAGACCAGGTAACTACGAGGCGTGAGACTGAAGATGACGCTGCAATATTTGGCAGATTAGTGGCTGCTGAATTACGTAAACTCTCTGAACCAAAAGCAAAAAAAATTAAACTACAAATAATAAATTGTTTATACACTAGTGAAGTTTAAATATTTAGTACTCGATTTAGTATATTATCCCTAGTTACTTTAAGATGTTCTATTAAATAAAATAACAGTAATCTTGTTGTTTGCTTATCTAAACTAATAAGTACATTACTATCTACAATTTATGTCTATGTTAACTACAAAGGTGCATTTCGACCTCTTCTTAGGTACTCATACTGCCAAGGAATTTCACCACTTGGAGTAGTTAAATATGTGGCTAGCTTGTTGCGTATTTCATACGTTTCTGTTGCAGCTCGATGTGCTCCAATTGGACCAATTGTTTGTAAAACATTCTCCTCCAGTCACCTGGAATGATCTGTCCACTCTCATCTTGTCTATCTAGTAACGTTGACGGACATAGTTGCATAGCTTCATTATCATTTTTCGCCTTCTAAAGGTTGTGCAGACATAAAGTGGCCAATATGATTTTATCTACAGACTTCGGATGCAAACAAATTAGCTTGCGAAAAATACGCCACCTCGAAACCAATATACCAAAAGCAGTTTCGATGATTCGCCTCGCACGAGTAAGCCGATAATTAAATATCCTCTTTGTGTCATCCAATTCCAGGAGATATTTGGAATTCTTCATCCCCAACAAAATACAAAGGACTTTTTAGATGTGAACCCGGTAAACTACACTCACCTGATGGAATGTTTAATTTATTGTCATATAAATTTTTTCCAAACAAAGATTTTGATAATACCCCGATATCACTTTCACTACCTAAAGCATGAGATGTATATATCCCTTTTAATACCCTGTATATTTCAACGTCGGATGCAACCGGTCAAGTAGTTGGGGATTCTGGGGGCATGAGCCACCGCCATCACCACCTGTCGATATTTTTTTCGTAATTTCCGGAGAATGTTTGGGATTTAGGGGCTTGGCGTCACTTGTTAATTGTTAAAGCTTGTTGGTGGTGGGATTATTGTATTTTGAGTTGTATTCATAGAGTTTAGCTTTGTTTTTGTGTTTGTGCGTAAGATTCAACCACTTTGTGGTGTCGGGTAAAGTATATTTTATGTAGTTTACTCTTATGTACTTATATGAATTGTGCCATTTGTTAAATCAGATATTTTCCATCTACCATTGTGCTAATATGTAATTTACAACATGCGAGGTGGTAACTAATATCCATGTGCTTGTGAAAGTCTACGATATCTCAGGTTTAGACCACGTTTAACTCAGTTACACGGTGCAGGGGGGTGTACCTATGTAGAACCTCGACTTCCGTGAAGTAGGGCATGCAATGCTAGGTGTATTTAGTTTAGGGTGACTGGTAACATTCGCGAATGCGTGTGCCTTGTTGTATGTGACTCATATCTTCCTACCGTGAGAGGGAGCTCGGACACTAGATTAGAAAGGTATTCTACAGCTAAGGCACAAAAAGGATCCGAGGGCCCTCGAACCTCCAACTTTAGGGACGAAGTGCTGCTAACCGAAGGCCGCCCTACCCACGGGCGGCGACCCATCTCTTAAGCTTAACCATCTTCAGTTTTGTGTCGTTACGTGACCGATGTCAGGGGAGTGTTACGAAGCACAGGTAGTAGTTGCGGAAGTCTGGGTTTTATATCAAGGTCATTATGTGGAAACTGAGCATAATTGGGGGCCCCACGAGCACACTGTGTATTGTCATAACTGCCTATTGTTACGTCACAACATCTATAATAGATCAGACATGTTTTTACAAACTTCACACCACTCCATTCGATAAATAATGATATGAATAACCAGTAAGGTGACTTATATAAATAAATGTATGAATGTGTTGCCCCTAACAATCTTAACTGCACTATGGGTTAATAGGCACATATGCCAGCCCAATCCCTAACAATATAACCGTGAAACAGGAGGGCAATCAAGCGAAGACGCTGGCCCAAACCTAACGAATAACCAGGTTCACCACCCAATGACTAACCAAAAAGTGAGTTGCCTTCTAGCCGCGATTAAAGGAAAGTACATGACATGTTGTGACGAATACTCTACGCATACTGTTCAAACGCACCTTGCTACTTGAATTCATTCGTTAATTAAGGTAGTGTCACATGTTCTGCTTAGGTGGTTGGTGTTTTAATTTGCTTGTGATTAGCATAGTTTGGGTTTTATTCAAGGCTAAGGTTTTTTCTCAAGTCGCGCTCTTTTTCTCTTTGGTAGTCTGATTTTGCGAGAGTGCGGCACCTTTAGGTTTTGCTTGCTTTGCTTTTAATGTACCACATCCAAATTCCCGGGTTTTCAGAATAACTTTATAATAAATAAACTCGCAGACATTACAGCGTTTTATTTGAGTGTTCCTGCTCGACTGGGTCCCGAGTAATTGTATTAGCTTCGTGTAACGTAAGGGGGCCCGACCTTAGATGATCCAATTACGTGCCATTCTTTTTTTTGAAATTTGAGCGGGAACCATGTTTTGATACTGGGATTGCAACGTTCCCACTTTGCCGTGAAATCTGTCATCTTCAGTTCGAGCCTGGGGTGGGTTAAGATCAGTATCATTATTGTTTTCTTAAGCGATCGATTTTGGGTTTTTTTTATATATACCCATCATCAGGCTATGCTAAAAATTACATGCTAATTGTTATTGTTATTCCTTATTTGTTATTTCTTATCCCTTATTTTTTCATTGTGTGATGGGCTTTAACCATCCATAAACACGTTTTGGAATAAATCTTATTTTTACTCGTAGAATAAAATAATAAAATATATACATCATTTATAAAGCACCTGTTCCAAATGAGACTAGTGACACAGCCATCGAGCCCTATACAGAGCGTAATATACAGGATGATCCATTAGAACTGTTGAATTATACCTAGTGCAAACAATTTTAATTAAATAAATCAAGCATTTTTTTAAAATTAGAAACTGGTGCTAATTGAGTAAAAAGATACGCGTGTTATTAACAACTCGCTCTAATTTTTGTAGCACCTTGATACCTCGCACTGATCACTTATCGAAAAATACTAATTTACTTCAACAGCATCTTTTGCAGCATATCGCGAGCAGCTATGTAGCCAGCTATTGTTGTCGATAAGGAGAATCTCTTCTATAATTCCTAGTGGGATCTTACCTTTCAAATATTTTAGAATTTGATTTGTCATACTCCACTGTTGCTTTTTAAACTTTTCAAACAATTGCAGATTGGTTAAAATATACAGTATCAGATAGTAGGGTCACTTCAATATCTTTTTTCTATTTCGGTGTCACAATGATGATTTTGTACAACTGTTTTCGGCCGAAAACAGTTGTACAAAGACAGTGATTATAGTCGTTTTTTTTTTGGGAACTCATCTCTTAAGTTGGCAGTTACTAGTTAGTACAAGTAGGTACTTCGTTGGGTACTTCCATGATTGAACTTCAAAATGTCAGTCTTACTACGCTGCCAACCTAAAACTTAACGGCATAAAAGTGTTCCCAACATAAAACATGTTAGTTCTAATGTTCCCTATAGTTTCTGATAATGATTTTTTTAATTAAATTAAAGCACCGAAATAGAAAAAATAGTATGAAAAACGCGTGTTACAATGCTTTATTGTAATACTCCTATCTTGCGGACACTCGTGGCTACGCTTCGCGTCGCCACTCGTGCCACAAGATAGTCGTATTACAATAGGTCGCATTGTAACACTTGTCTTTCAATATACTATTATTTAAATCAGCACATTTAAGTTTCTTCGAAACTTGATGTTTTAAAAGATGTTGTTTGAAGTTGCGCTTATCATTTGACCCATTTTATTTGCCGAAGGCCTGAATAACGCAACTGTTTAAAAGCGGAATTTATTTCTTACTCAAAGACACGGCATTATTTTCTATTACATTTTGTTACCAGAATTGATTTTGAGTAAATTTCTATATTATATGAGCCCAATTCGTTAGTTCATAAATTTTATAACAAATATGGTGTAACCATTGAACTGTATACTTGTAAAATTAAACGAACTTACCTTGTGAAGTTCAATTTTAATTATACGTATCGTTTCCTTCGATGATGATGATTTTGAGTAACGGTATAGTATCCTACTTCTGTACTTGGCTCACGATTTTTAGAGCAGAAAACTGCTAATAAACCAAACCTCTGCCTTATCGACGGTACCCCTCTACTCTCCCACAGTTACCGACATGCACGCTTCAATACTTAGTTTAGAGTCTTGTTGCCAACTTGGGGGGGAAAGGATAGTCATCTGATTATCCAAACTTGGGTCGGGAGATCATCATCGAAGGAAACGATACGTATAATTAAAATTGAACTTCACAAGGTAAGTTCGTTTAATTTTACAATTATACTATCGTTTCCTTCTTCAGATGATGATTTTGAGTAACGGTATGATGTTTAAAGTAGCAACAAGATTACAAAAGAAAATCTTTACTGGATGCCTATTTTCATACAATATCTAATTTTATTAACGAAACAATCCTCCAACCATAACTTGTATCCTTAACGAAAAAAGGTAGGTAACAAACAAAATGGTAATTTCTAATTATACTTTATATCTAACTTAATAAAACAGTAGGTAACAAATGAAATGGATATTTCTAAATATAAGGCCTTATTGGTAATACTAGTCCACATGATCTGACACACTCCCTTTTAAAATACTCATTGCAAAGGAATTAGGGTCACTAATTGGACGATTATAGAAACGTGCAAATACGTTGGAGGTATTCGACCAGCCTGCTGTACTTCTTATTAAATCTATATTAATGCCCTGCTGAAAAGCTATCGACGTAGAAACATGTCGAACACTATGGGCAGAGAAAATATTAATGTCTACCCCTGACTTCTCCAGAACCAATTTTACCCACCTGCTTAGAGTCTGTGAAGACACTTGAAGGTGGGGTTTTCGCCAGGAAATAAAAAGTCGCGTGCAGCAAGATGATCTGATATTCTTTGTCTTATTTAAATACTCAATTAATGTTGTTGCCGCACATACAGAACTGTTTTCCTTAAAAAAAGGTAAAACTAAAACTGGTTGATTTCGGTTAGGTCCCGAAGTTTTGATACGTGCAGGAATAAAAATTCTTACTCCCTCAGCATCTGCTATAATATGAGACAGTTCAATGAGTGAAAAAGTTTGCATTCTATGAGCCGTGACTAGGGCTAATAACATGATTAGTTTTAGTGACAGTTGTTCCAAGGAAATATCTTCATTTGGAAACCAGGAAGAAAGATGTTTCAATACTAATTCCGGGTTCCATAAGGTAGTGTATCTTGGCCGTGGAGGCCGAAGGGAAGCTACCCCTTTAAAGAAACGTTTAATCCTGGCATCTTCCGCTACACTCGGAGAGAAAATTACCGACAATGAAGAGCGAAAGGAATTTAAACTACCATAACCTAAACCTCTATCATACTCTGTTTGAAGGAACTTTAGAATATCCAGGACCGATTCTCGAAAAGGGGCCAAACTGTTTTGTTTGCAAAATGCCCACCATAACTTAAGACCAACTTCATACTGTTTAAGAGTTGAAGTTGCCAGTGAAGCTAACATGATCCTTGCTGTATCTTCATCTACTCCTTTTCGGTGAAACGCTTCCCGGATAAAATTGCGGCCACCAGGGAAGTCTGTTGCCATAATCTGTGTGGTCTTCTATCAACAGAAAGCAATAAGTCAATTTTTGGTGGGAGAATTATCCAGTTTGAACAAGCAAGTTTTTTAAATAGTGGGAACCAGGGTTGCATTACCCAATATGGAACTACCACAATCCCTGTAGCCCGCTCTTCTATAATTTTCTTTAGCACAGGTAAAATTAATATAAAGGGTGGAAAAGCATAGAAGAATTCTTCAGTCCAGTCCAGAGTAAAAGCATCAACTGCTAAAGCATCCGGATCATTTTTCCAGGAAACATAACGGCTACATTTAAAATTCGTTCTACTTGCAAATAAGTCCAAAGTTGGTTTCCCCAATTTTGAAATAATCTGATTATAGTAAGTCATATTTAACTCCCATTCTGTTTCCTTAACTATTCTACGGGATTCTGTATCTGCCTCTTTATTATTTTTTGATTCTATATATGAAGCAAAAATCCACAGTCTACGGATTTCGCACCACTGCCAAATCTCACGGGCTAAACTATTTAAGTGAGGATGCCTAGTGCCCCCCATACGATTTATATAGGCTATGGCGGTGATGTTGTCAATTCTTAATAAAATGTTAATCCCTTGCAAGTCAGATGCAAAATATTTAAGACCCAGAAAGGCAGCCTTTAATTCGAGGTAATTTATATGATATTCTCTTTCTGTAGCAGACCACTGACCCGCTATAGTTTCTTTCCCGCAAACTGAACCCCAACCTTTCAAACTGGAGTCCGAATATATTGTTAGCATATATGGCTTCATTTTTAAGTCCTTTTGAGAATAACAAATGTTATCTAACCACCACTGCAAGTCTAGTTTTAAATTCCTCTGAATACTTATTATCGTCTTATAACTCCCCCCTGATTTGTGTAAAGCCAAACATTTTGCTCTTTCTAGTTGTTTTAGGTATAACCACCCATATTGTGTAGCGGGGCAGACAGACACCAAGAACCCAATTACTTGTGCTAGAAAATGTATAGAGCAGCGGGACAAACTAATTAACCTGCTGCACAGAGAGATTGTTTTAAGATGTTTACTTTTCGGTAAATATAGTAACATCTTCTCAGAATTAAAACAGAATCCTAGGAAGGTGCATATTTTAGAAGGGGACGTACTCTTTTTATCATTTACAACAAACCCTAGTTTTGTTAGTAAATTTGTTGTTTGTTTTAGATTCTCCATGCACAAGGTATAAGAATCTGCAAAAACTATAAAATCATCCAAATAAACCACCGACAAAAGCCCTTTTGATCGTAGCTTTGCAACCACTGGTTTCAAAATCTTGGTAAATACAAAAGGTGCAACACTAACACCAAAACACAAACAGTTATACTCATATAACTGGTTCTGAAAATAAAATCTTAAATATTTTTTTGAATTGCTATGAATTTTTACAGAATAGTATGCCTCTTTTAGGTCCAGTGTTGCCATGTAACAATCTTTTGATAAAAGCTTTGTAACTGTACGCCTATCTTCTAGTTTGAAATGCGAGGTCGACAAAAAAGTATTAAACTTTTTCAAATTCATTACCAAGCGAAACTTTCCACCTGGTTTTTGTACCAGAAAAATGTCTGATATAAACTGATCTTTACAGGGATGACATTTACTGATTGCACCTATGTCCAGTAAGTGATTTATTTCTATCTTAATTAAATTGGTTTCACTTTCAGACCAAGGATGCTCCTTTGGAACCCTCATTTGATAAACTGGTCTATTAACTGGCAAAGAATAGCCTTGTATAGCTGATAAAACAAATCTGTCCGAAGTGACAGCTAACCACTGAGCATAACAGTTAGCGAGATATCCCGCTGTAAAACCCACCTTCTTTATTTCTGTCGTGTTGATCTGTAGAGACCCTTGTTTTGAGTCGTCGAATGCCTGTATTGTGTTGATCCTTTTCGGTACTGTTGTTGATAAAAGCTCGTCTGTCCGCCCAGTCGAGGAGGTGGCCGTCGCTTGGGCGGACTCTTGTAGTTTCCCTGGTTCTGTGAAAAGGGTTTCCTTTGTAAGGTTGGAGTCTTCTTCTGTTTTAAATCCAAACCCGAGCGCTCCATAGCCTTGGCCTCCTTTATCCTATCAGATAAATTTTTACCAAATAAAAACTCATCGCTGCGGGCTTCCAGAATAACATCCTTCAGCTCTTTCCGAAAATTCAGGTTAAGCAAACTCTTCCTCGCTTCTGACTGTTGGCAATGGAGATCTGTTAGCAGTCTACATGCATCTCCCGTTAAACCTATCCATTCTAGATACGCTCCCTCCTCTTTTTCCTCTGCTGACAATAGGGCAGTCAGGAGCTTTCCTAACGCTGCCACGCTAGCTCCGATCTGCCTTTGAACGGCTTGTAACCGTTCATCCCGCTTAATAGCAGATTCCATGGATGCTAATTTGGCTTCGGGATTTAATTTTGGCGGAGCAAGTAGAATACAATTCTCTGGGGTTGGGTATTTAGATATTAATTTCTGTCGTATTTCCTCAGAGAGGCCTGTCAACAACGTCTTTTCCCATTGGGAGGATACATCTTTGTGAATTTTTGAACCCATAATCCGTTCACCGGTCTCATCCTGTCCTAGGATGTATAAAACGTGTTTTTTTAGTGAGGTACCCTCATCTGGAATCTCAGCGAGAAGAGGATCTTCCTCTGCACCTTAAAAAAGAAGGTATTTTTGGTCGTATTGTTGTACACACAACAAAAAAGTTAGCTAAACCAAGCCCAACCATCATAATGTTCTGCACAGAACTGGCGTACGCCCTAATATAATGTAAGTTTCATACAAAACTGAGGCTATAATGACCTTTTGCACAAAAGGTCTCATATTTAAGTACACACTTAAATATAAGTAAAACTGTTGGATTCTGGTAACCCTACCTTCTGTATTATCTTCTAAAAGAAAATTTTCGTCATTAGGAAAATTAGTTTCGACTCTAACATCGGAGTCGCCATTTTCTTTGTCAACAGGTGATTCATCCAAATCCGAGTTGTACGTCTTCCTCTTTTTAATTTTCTTCTTTAATTTCTTAAGTTTTCGACGCAATCTTAAAACTTCCTCGTCCTCAGAAGACGACGAAGAAAAAGATGATTCGTTTTCCACTGATTTTCTTTTGTTATTTCCCATAATAAACACACAATAAATTTTTACGTAGTGAGCGAAAAGCACGAAATAAGAAAAGTATTGAAGCGTGCATGTCGGTAACTGTGGGAGAGTAGAGGGGTACCGTCGATAAGGCAGAGGTTTGGTTTATTAGCAGTTTTCTGCTCTAAAAATCGTGAGCCAAGTACAGAAGTAGGATACTATACCGTTACTCAAAATCATCATCTGAAGAAGGAAACGATAGTATAATTTGTAACTGGAATGGCATCGCTATCCAAAATCGCGTGCCGCCTAACGTAAGCTGTGGTAGGTATGCTCATCCTTGTCTGGCACGTTATTCGTATAATAATCCTTGTCTGGCACGTTGATTTGTAAAACGCATAAACGCCACGTGCGTGGAACACGATGAGGTATACGTACTTCTACCCATCTCTCTCGTTACGTGGCCCTTGCAAGAATTGTTTACAGGCGATGCCGTTCCTGTTACGGAGTATTTAGTTCAATGTTACAAACTGATTTGGCAACGCTGTATTGAAGTTGAGAGTCCCTACTCCCTAGCTGCTTCACCTTTCACGTGTAATTTAAAGAACCTGTTTGAGATATGATAGATTTTTAATATTTTAGGTAAGTATCTCCCTTTTTCTTATATTTATTTTTGCATTAAAGTTTCTAAAGAAAGAAGCAAAGCTCAAAATAAACGTATATTTCACTGAAGTTAACACAGATACAACTTCCATTTAGGATTAGATTTTGTTTGATTACTGAATTAAAATTCCAGGACTACCAGAGGTTACTTACTTTTTTTATAACGTTTTAGTACCTTTCGCATCTGCACCTGTAAATTGGCTATCAGCGCAATCAAGCAAATATGCATATTATCCGTTGCATCAGATTTTCAAGTGTCGGAAATTGCAGTTGTGTGTAACCAATTAACCAAGGCGACATAGCAAATGGCATGGAATTAAAGTTTTTTTTATTACAACCAAATAATTACTGGTGGTGTATGTAACTCTCATTCTGTTACTCAGAAAGTATGTAATGCCTTGTTGCCCTGGGATCTCCCTCTTTATTTAATATCTCAGTTGATTTTTAACAGATTTATTAATCATTTTTGTTAATTATTAGATATGAATGGAGGTAATGACACAGTACTCATCAAAATTGAACCAAAACAAGAAGAAGAAATCCATTCCTTCCTTCAGGGACACATTTCACTAAGCAACGAAGTTTTTGTAAAAATAAAGGACGAAATTACTATTAGTACACCATGTTCTAAATCCCTTTATAATGAAGAAGTACAGCAATACTCTGACTTTCAGCATCACCTTCTAACTCTGTGTAAAACAGAGTCTAAAGATTTTAAATGTGCTGATTGTGATTATGGGACAAATAATAAACACCTCTTCAAACGGCATCTTTTAACGCATAAAGTTTCTAAGGATTTTAAATGTGCTACTTGTGATTATGGGACAAATAATAAACACCTCTTGAAACGGCATCTTTTAAAACATAAAGTTTCTAAGGATTTTAAATGTGTTGTTTGTTATTATAGCACAAATGATAAATGCGTCTACAAACAACATCTTTTAATACATAAAGTTTCTAAAGATTTTAAGTGTTCTGATTGTGATTACGAGACAAATTATAAAAGCAACTTCAAACAACATCTTTTAAAACATAAAGTTTCTACGGATTTTAAATGTACTGATTGTGATTATGGAACAAATAATAAACACCTCTTCAAACGGCATCTTTTAACGCATAAAGTTTCTAAGGATTTCAAATGTGCTACTTGTGATTATGGTACAAATTATAAACACCTGTTCAAACGACATCTTTTAAAACATAAAGTTTCTAAGGATTTTAAATGCGATTATTGTGATTATGGCACAAATGATAAATGCGTCTACAAACAACATCTTTTAATACATAAAGATTCTAAAGATTTTAAATGTGCTGATTGTGATTATGAAACAAATTATAAAAGCAACTTTAAACAACATCTTTTAACACATAAACTTGCTAAAGATTTGAAATGCGCTACTTGTGATTATGGGACAAACAATAAACACCTCTTCAAACGACATCTTTTAATACATAGAGTGTTGAAGGATTTTAAATGTGCTAATTGTGATTATGGGACAAATGATAAACGCAACTTCAAACAACATCTTTTAATACATAAAGCTTCTAAAGAATTTAAATGTGGTGATTGTGATTATGGGACAAATAATCAACTTGTCTTCAAACAACATCTTTTAATACATAAAGTTTCAAAAGATTTCAAATGTGGTGAATGTGCTTATGGGACAAATCGTAAACACCACTTCAAGCAACATCTTTTATCACATAGAGCTTCTAAGGATTTTAAATGTGCTACTTGTGATTATGGGACAAATGATAAACACAATTTCAAACGACATCTTTTAAAACATAAAGTTTCTAAGGATTTTAAATGTGCCGATTGTGATTATGGCACAAATGTTAAATCCGACTACAAACGGCATATTTTAAAACATAAAGTGTCTGTGGACTTTAAATGTGCTACTTGTGATTATGGAACAAATCATAAATACTCCTTCAAAATGCACCTTTTAAAACATAGTGTTTCTAAGCATTTTAAATGTGCTAATTGTGACTATGAGACAAATTATAAATCCCATCTCAAACAACATCTTTTAAAACATTGAGTTTCTAAGGATTTTAAATGTGCTAATTGTGATTTTCGGACAAATATTAAAACCCAACTTAAACAGCACCTTTTATTGTTTAATGTTTAAAGCTTTAGACCCTTTAGTTTTTAATGTGCTCATTGTGATTATGAGATAAATAATGGATCGGACTTTGAGCAACAGCTTTGGGGATACATAAGAAGTCATTCTCTTAAAATCACAGGTGCTCTTGGGCTTATCTCATGGAAAGAAAGAAAGGGTCCTGAAACAGCACACTGCTAATTAGCTACTACAATTATGTTACACCATAAATACATTGAAGATTGTACCATCATAAAAATAATTTACAAAATGCATTATAAGTATATATAGATTACAATAAATATAATGCCTTGATTTGTGCCTAGCAGTCATAATATACGAGATACCGCAAATGGAATAACTTTTCGTTATCGTGCACACGGCAGACAGGCAGACAAATATCAAACTACATTGTATTCTATACCTTTCTCTTTTGATTACAAAGGAAATCTCAAATTCGTCAAATTACCATCTGTCGCACTAAAATGCCCGTTTGCACCGACAAATTTAAGCGGAGCTTAGCTTAAGCGTCCCTTAAAATCCATGGCAACCATTGTCTCAATAATCGTTGCCATGGATTTTAAGGGACGCTTAAGCTAAGCTTCGCTTAAATTTGTCGGTGCAAACGGGCATAAAGCACCTTTTAGGGACGAGATTTACACACAGATTTGGCAACGCTGCATTTCAGTTGAGTGTAACTGTTTTCACGTTCCATTTAAAGAACAATAATGTTATTCCGTGGTTTAATAAATTATAGATTTTAATTGAAAAAATTTAAATAGATTTTAAACATTGCGGTCCCTACAAAATGAACTATAGCTGTTTGTTGGCGATGCAGCGGGTTCTTCTAGCGGTTTAAAGCGTTTTCATTCGTGACGTAATAAAGTTGTCAGTTGCGAGAATGCACCGATTCGATTCGAACAACTTTGTAAAGAAATCCGCTGTATGAATTTCATTCTGGCAACGTGATTTATTTGTTAAAACACGAGGGTGTTTTTTGGATTCTTCAGCTGCTCGTTAAATTTCTAATGCGCAGACAAGTTTCAAATCGCCGTCCCATTGCGGTTCAATGGTTTTAAACACTGCATTTACGACGTCATTGATCTTCCGCGAGAATGCGCTGTTTAACATTGCTTCAGCTGCGTCGCTCAAGAAACAGCTATTTGACAACGCTGCATTTAAGACTAAGTTGAGAGTAGCTATCTTCACGTGCCAAATAAAGAAAATGTAATCCAGGCATTGAATTTATAATTATAGTTATAAAATGTCCTAAGGTAAGTACCTATTTCTTTACATTTCCTCTTACATTAAAGTATTTAAACAAAAGTGCAAATCCCAAAATAAACGTATATTTCAATGAAGTTAACACAGGTAAAACTGAGTATATTTTGTTTGATTATTGAATTGCTATTGGAAGAATGAGAAAGTTTGTCCAAGATCTGAGGACGACCAGAGGTTACTTACTTTTTTAAATAATATTTTCGTACCCTTCGCACATGGCACCTGGAAATTGCCCATTGGCACAAGCTAATAAGTTTGCGTATGTTCCCTGTCCATATACTAACACTATTCTTACCTATTCAACAAAAAACGTCTGATTTCCCTGAGATCTCTCTCTGTATAATACCACTTTGATAAACAAAACAACTTTTTAACACATTTATTTATAACATTTTTGTTAGGTATGGATGGAGATAATGACACACTACTCATTAAAATTGAACCAAAAAAAGAAGAAGAAATCCATTCCTTTCTTCGGGGAAATATTTCAGTAAGCAACGAAGTTTTGGTGACAATAAAGGACGAAATTACTATTAGTACACTGAGTTCTAAATCTTGTCATAATGAGGAAGTACAGCAAAACTCGTACCTTCAGCATCACCTTCTAACTCAGTGTAAAACAGAGGCTAAAGATTTTAAATGTGCTGATTGTGATTATGGGACAAATAATAAACGTAACTTCAAACGACATCATTTAAAACATAAAATTTCTAAAGATTTTAAATGTGCTGATTGTAATTATGGGACAAATGATAAACCAAACTTCAAACAACATATTTTAAAGCATAAAGTTTCTAAGGATTTCAAATGTGCTACTTGTCATTATGGGACAAATAATAAAAACCTTCTCAACCTGCATCTTTTAAAACATAAAGTTTCTAAGGATTTTAAATGTGCTACTTGTGATTATGGAACAAATTATAAACACCTCTTCAAACGACATCTTTTAATTCATAAAGTTTCTAAAGATTTTAAATGTGCTAATTGTGATTATGAGACAAATAATAAACGCAACTTCAAACGACATCTTTTAAATCATAAAATTTGTAAAGATTTTAAATGTGTTGATTGTGATTATGGGACAAATGATAAACACAACCTCAAACAACATCTTTTGAAACATAAAGTGTCTAAGGATTATAAATGTGGTCTTTGTGATTATGGGACAAATTATAAGTATATGTTTAACCAACACCTTTTAAAACATAAAGTTTCTAAGGATTTGAAATATAGTAATTGTGATTATGAGACAAACAATAAATATATCTTTAACCAATACCGTTTACAACATTCAGTTTCTAAGTATTTTAAATGTGCTCATTGTGATTACGGAACAAATCATAAAGGCAACTACAAACAACATATTTTAAAACATAAAGATTCTAAGGATTTTAAATGTGCTCATTGTGATTATGGGACAAATGTTAAAGACAACATCAGACGACATCTTTTAAATCACAAAGTTTCTAAAGATTTTAAATGTGCTGATTGTGACTATGGAACAAATGATAAAGGTAATTTCAAACAACATCTTTTAAAACATAAGGTTTGCAAAGATTTTAAATGTGCTCTTTGTGATTACGGAACAAATGTTAAAGGCAACATCAAACGACATCTTATAAATCATAAAGTTTCAAAGGATTTTAAATGTGCTGATTGTGATTATGGGACAAATGATAAACGCAACTTCAATCAACATCTTTTAAAACATAAAGTTTCTAAAGATTTTAAATGTGCTGTTTGTGATTATGAGACAAATATTAAACGTAACTTCAAGCGACATCTTATAAATCATAAAGTTTCAAAGGATTTTAAATGTCCTGATTGTGATTATGGGACAAATGATAAACGTAATTTCAAACGACATTTTTTAAGACATACTGATTCTAAGGATTTTAAATGTACTGATTGTGATTATGTGACAAATGATAAACTTGTCTTCAAACAACATCTTCTAAACCACAACATTTTGAAAGATTTTAAATGTGCTGATTGTGATTATGGCACAAATGTTAAACGCAACTTTAAACAACATCTTTTAAATCATAAGGATGCTAAGGATTTCAAGTGTGCTGTTTGTGATTATGAAACAAATAATAAACGCAACTTCCAAAGACATCTTTCAAATCATAAAGTTTCTAAGGATTTTAAATGTGCTCATTGTGATTATGGGACTAATGACAACCGTAACTTTAAACGACATCTTTTAAAACATAAAAAAGTCTAAAGCTTTTAAATGTACTGATGGTGATTATGAGACATATGTGTTTCAACGCATAAAATAGTCTAAAATTTTTTAAACATGCCAAATGAGATTAAGAGATAAATGACTGATCCATAGATACATTAAAAATTGTTCCATTGCAAATGCATTTCACAAAATTCTGAGGTATAGCTAATTGAATTTTGTACCCATTGTTGGTTTTGTCTCTTGTTTTTTAAAGAAAAATGATAACCATATGTATGGGGACGATCGAAAGATGATGGCGGCGGTGCATGACTTTTAATAGACTTTTGTGTTAACATTGTAGGTTGTCCTGTTAAGGGATATTTTCTGTTTGACAATAAATCCTATTATTATTATTGTGTATTATATGGTTTTTATTGGTAAATAATACAACGTGACAAGACTTGCCATGCAGAGAACTGATGGTCATAGTATTCAAAGGTCAAATAAAATGAAATATCAAGCATGGGTGTCCCAAGGTAAGTGTTTGGACCTTTGAGTAAAGAAGGTATATAATAGATATTCAAAGGTCCTATATTCTGCGGTGTTGCTATAATGCGCACCGGTAAATGCCACTGTAATAATCTATCAAATCTGGAAGTATCATATAAACCAAAAATTAATTCAGAGTTATAATAGGCTAAAGCAACTCTACCCGCTAATAAACAGAAAATCAACCCTAAAAATAGAATGTACGGTCTTACTATACAAGAGCTTATTACGACCTTTAGCATTATACGCTTCACCGGTTTGGTGCAACACATCTAAAACAAATATGCAAAAACTGCAGCGATTCCAAAAAAAGGTGCTGCGTACCGCTGTCAACGCACCATGGTATATTAGGAACACCCAGCTACATTTAGAGTTAGGAGTAATGCCTATCCAAGAATATATTAATAAATGTGCCAAAAAGTTTATTACTAACTCAAGTGCGTGCAGTGGTGCGGTGTTCTATGAACTATTTCAACCAAATATCCACACCAGACTCAAACGCAGGTTACCCCAAGACGTTATTTTATCAGGCGACGAAGAAGATTAACTTATTATTGGTTAACTTTCCTAGGGACCGCTACTTAGTCTCTCTAAGTCACGATACACAGTCATACTGAATCTTATCACTGCTATGTATAACAAACTTATGATTGTTGATCTGGCAATAAATTTATTAAAAAAAAAAAATAAATAAAAATCTTATGATTGTTGATCTGGCAATAAATTTATTTAAAAAAAAAAAAAAATCTATCAAATTCTGAATGTCTAATAGTGATACGCCGCGGCCGTTTCAATACTATCGGCGATTATTATTTCCATCTAAGAAGAGTAATCATTTGAAGTGTGTTAATGAATTATGAAAGCAGTAGAAATGTTTTAATTACGTACGTCTGTGCGATAATTGAACATAACCTACACCTTGTGTACGTATATATGATATCCTAATTTTATTAATATTATTATATAAAAACGTAAAAATAGAAATAACGGTACACGCGAAATGTCAAATAACAGACGAAACATCAATGATTCATACCCAAGTACAGACGGCGCAAACAATTCCAAGGTAATGCCCTGTATATACTAACCATGGTAAATGAGTTGGCAATCTTGCTTATGAGGTTAGCTATCTTCAAGTGCTATTTAACGGTTTATTTTTAGGTAAGTATCTTTTCTTTACATTTGCATTTTTATGTATTGAACAGGTGCAAAACTCAACATAAACGTATATTTCACTTTAACTTGCCACAGGAACAACTTCCACTGAACATTAGAGTTTGTTTGATTAACTCTTTCCTTCTAAGGATTAGGTACTAAATAACTATTGGAAGAATGAAATGTGAAGTTAGCATCACAATGCCATCCTCTGAAATCCAGTATACCTACAAGCGAGGCAAAACAGGCAAACTCCTGGGAATCAAAAGTTTTTGTATTATTACAAAATAATTTACTGGTGACCTTGTGTAACTCTTATTCAACAAATCCTTGTACTCGGAAGTAATTATTGTATTGTATTATACCAAACAAGATTTTTGAAAACCATAACAGATTGTTAATACATTATTGTTGTTAGGTATGGATCAAGATAGTGATACACTGCTCATTAAAATTGAACCAAAACAAGAAGAAGCAATCCATTCTATTCAACAGACACACAATTCAGTAAGCAACGAAGCTTTCGTGGCAATAAAGGAGGAATATACCGCAGAAATTCCTATTAGTACACCATGTTTTAAATATCTTTATAATGAAGAAGTACAGCCATATGCTGACTTTCAACATCACAATTTAACTTTGTGCAAAACAGAGTCTAAAGTTTTTAAATGTACTGATTGTGATTATGGTACAAATAGTAAACGCAACTTCCAACGACATCTTTTAAAACATAAAATTTCAAACGATTTTAAATGTGCTGATTGTGATTATGGGACAAATTATAAACCCAACTTCAAACAACATCTGTTAACACATAAAGTTTCTAAGGATTTTACATGTGCTACTTGTGATTATGGGACAAATAATAAAAACCTCTTCAAACTACACCTTTTAAAACATAAAGTTTCTAAGGATCTTAAATGTGCTACTTGTGATTATGAGACAAATTATAAACACCTCTTTAAACGACACCTTTTAATACATAAAGTTTATAAGGATTTTAAATGTCCTAATTGTGGATATGGGACAAATGATAAACGCAACTTCACACGCCATCTTTTAAAGCATAAAGTTACTAAAGATTTTCAATGTGCTGATTGTGATTATGAGACAAATGATAAATCCAGCTTCAAACAACATATTTTCAAACATACAGTTTATAAGGTATTTAAATGTGCCACATGTGATTATGGCACAAATGATAAACGTAACTTCAATCGTCATCTTTTAATACATTCATTTTCTAAGGATTTTAAATGTGCTAATTGTGATTATGCGACAAACAATAAACATGTCTTTAATCGACACCTTCTAAAACATAAAATTTCCAAGGATTTTAAATGCGCTCATTGTGATTTTGGGACAAATGTTAAAGACAACATCAAACGACATCTTGCAACTCATAAAGTTTCTAAAGATTTTAAGTGTTCCATTTGTTATTATGCAACAAATGATAAACACAACCTCATACAACATTTTCTGAAACATACAGTTTCTAAGTATTTTAAATGTGCTACTTGTGATTTTGGGACAAATTATAAAAACTCCCTCAAACAACATCTTTTAAAACATAAAGTAACTAAAGATTTTAAATGTGTTGATTGTGATTACGAGACAAATGATAAACTCGTCTTCAAACAACATCTTTTAAAACATACAGTTTCTATCGATTTTAAATGTGCTCATTGTGATTACAGGACAAATAATAAACGCGTTTTCAAACTACATCTTTTAAAACATAAAGTTTCTAAGGATTATCAATGTGCTCATTGTGATTTTTGGACAAATGTTAAAGATGACATTAAACGACATCTTTTAACTCATAAAGTTTCTAAAGATTTTAAATGTGCTGTTTGTGAATATGAGACAAATGTTAAATTTACCTTCAAACGACATCTTTTAACACATAAAGTTTCTAAGGATTTTAAATGCGCTCATTGTGACTTTGGGACAAATGTTAAAGACAACATCAAACGACATCTTGTAACTCATAAAGTTTCTAAGGATTTTAAATGTGCTGTTTGTAATTATGAGACAAATGTTAAATGTAACTTCAAACGACATCTTTTAACACATAATTTTTTAAGGATTTGAATTGAGCTAGTCGTGACCTTGGGATAAATAATAAAACCTATTTTAAACAAATTTTTTTAATGTGCTAATAATAGGTGATACATTAGGTCTTATCTTCAAATCGGAGTGCTTCTGAGCTTATCTTATTAAGAGGTACAATTTTAACAACTGCAACTGTTAAAAAATCGCTGAGTTATTTCCAGCATCTTTGTTTTTCACTAGGCTCATCAGACCATGGCTTTGGGCTCGAGCATTGGAAGGTTCCTGACTCGATACACTGCTGGAGTTGGCTAACACATATTTTACATCATAGATATTTGTTCCATTATAAATATATTTCACAAAATGCATTGAGTATGTATATGTAGATTACAATAATATAAAATTTATGCAGTCGTAACATACCAGATGGGTAATGCAAATGGAATACAGTATCATTGTTAACACAAAGGTAACAGTGCTTTTAATTAACGTAGTACTCTCAAATACACACAACGTATGCATCTTAATTACCTAGTACTAGTATATACGCAACTTATACTACACATTTCGATAACTTTTTTTGAGTTTTTTCTGTTCGAATTGGTATAACCTAAACCTTTTTTCCAAAATGTTATAACTAAGACGAAATTTAGTTTTCTGTAAATCGTTGCCGTAGTATGCACATGGTTAAATCATGTACATCACTTTTAATACTGTTTATTTTGGCGCATACTGTATTTAAAAATTATAATGATTTGAAAGGTTATGTAACTGAATGCATTGTAGTAGATGAATATTTTCCATAATGAAAGAAATGTTGGATAATGCTTAAAATCGGGATTTTTTGAATTTGAATAATTGTAGCATGACGTTTACCTAATGCAAAATTTTGACCAGAGAATGAGATGCCCATATCCTTTCAAATACCCTGTATATTTGGTCGAACGCAACCAGTCAAATAGTAAGGTGGGTTCATAGCTCTCCGTTCATCCGTTGCGTTGGTCTGTCAAACGGATAATGCATTTTATTAAGGTTCATAGCAATCCGTCCACATTGTACATTTGCAACGTATAACCATAACCTAAATTTTATTTTGTACGGTACCCTCCGTGATTTTCAGTATGTAAAAATGGTACGAAAGTAAGAGCACATTGCTATCTGATTATTACCGTGAAGAACGAATAGGCGAACACTGTTAACGTACCAAACATAACCTCACTCTTGTTAAAAACGGAACAACAGAAACGTAAATGTTCAACTTCAACCAACTTTTCCGTCGTAAACGGACGACGTACGATTTAAAAATTTGCTGTCTTCTGACTGGCTAACGGACAAACGGAAACGTAAGAACGGAGAGCTATGAACCCACCTGTAGTCGTTTGTACTAGGTAGTGTAGTTCCGGCAGTATATTTTAGGTAAAATATAAGGGAATGCAACCTAACGGAGGTATGAAAAGAGAGATGATGGAAGCGGACGGTGCATCCCATCCCGGCAACCATACTACTGTTATACAGGGTGTTACACGACCGTTCGAAAAAAAAAAATCGGGTTGTAGAGGGCATCAAAACAAGCACTTTTTCCAAATAAACCGAGGGTCCAACGTGTTTCGTTTGGGAGCCACCCCCCAAAGAGTGTTGAAATCTGCATTTCTTCTTTAATT